CGCGGGAATTCATGCCCAGCTGATGGACAGGGTGGTTAAAAAGGGATTTCAGGTGCTGCCTACCGTCAGCTATCTCTGCCTGCACCCAGACTTTAATATATTAATCAGAAGAACTGAGAGAAAGAGACAGACATTTGAAGACGATCAAACAAAAAGCCCGAGCAAAACAACGTTTCAACTGACAGCAGACACACGCATCGCAGAGGCAAAACGTGACACCTGATATTAGATGTCTGCGCGTTCGGCTGACATTATAAAAATAAATTCCACCCTAAACAGGGACAGGCACTAACTATTTAGATATTGGGTTCATGCAAGTACAAGCCTAGTCACGCATCTGTCCAGCAACGGTATTTCTGTGCTCCCCATTACACTCACATCTGTCACTCTCCATCTGAGAGACATGCACGGTGTCATACAAAAACACAGTGTATCCAGATCGGAGTCTGTGTTCCCAGTTGGGCTGGGAAAGCAAGCCTGTGTTAGCGTTTTTGGGGGTTTTTTAACAAAAAGAGAGCAAAAGAAGATCAAATCATCCTTCTCACAATTCAAAGCCCTGATCTGACATCCCTCCTCTGCTCCCAGCCAGTACCCACAGGGGGGATTTTTCTGCCTCCTGCAGGGCTGGATACAGGCAGCCCATCCCTCACCTCACACCTAACACAGATGCCAAAACAACCGCTTGCTCTAAATAACCTCACTGTTCTCTTCTTAATAAAAAGATATAGCTATAATTTCATGGAAAATGTATGCAGGAAGAGAAGGATTTGATTTTCTGAATGCAGAAAGAGTCAAGCTCCCTTGTGGAATTTAAATATACCTGTCTGATGGCTTTCCTTTGTGCTTTCTTTTTTTTTTTTGCCTGGCCCTTTCAACATTTCATGTGAATATACGATATATGAATAATCGTACTCATAAACAAAATAGGTTCCTTCATGGATGAAATGCACACAAGACATTTAAAACTCTATTTAATTTATTTTGAGAGTTGCTAAAAGCCTGAAGGGTATGCAGGCATGGTACCCTCTGGGAGAGGATCAATGTCACTGCAAGTGCGATGATGCTACTTTTGTGCCTAAACGGCTGCAAGATGAGACGTTGATTATTAAAGAAATCACCACTAACAAAAACATGCACCCGTCTGATTATCACAGCTCCACATTCCCAGGCCCTACAGCTACGCACAGGGATGCAACCCTGCCTGCTCCCTGCACACAAGCGCTGGCCTCTTGAATCTAGATGACAAACCTGGGGGAAAAAATCTGGGCCATTCAGAGGGCATGCTGTGCTCTTCCTCTGGAAATAGTTTAAAAAGATCCAACCCAGACTTCAGAGGATTTAACATCCATAGTAAAAAGTAGCTCAAGTCAGCCAGCAAACCTCAAAGGGATTCCTGAATTGTGCTTTCCTTAATGAATTCAATAATCGATCCCTACTACACAAATAAGGTGTAGGATGGATCAGTTCATAAGCATTCTCAGTTAATTGCTCTCTTCAAGTGACACTTTGTACAAATAACACTATCAAAGTAGTAATAATATCCTTATTGATTGAATTAATCTCCTAAAGACAACTCAAATAAGTTTAACTAGCAATGCATGACAGAAGCATAAAATACTCTGAAAACAGCCTTGTAACCCCCCTCAGACTTTGAAATCGTGGCAACGGTCACGCAAAAGACTTTTGCATCTTTATTCTGGTGCGCAATTTTATGGAGCAATTTCAGCGAATGCCTGTGACTAACCATGAAAACCCACGAAACCTTCCCTGCAGAGAAAAAGTGAGACATGCAGTCTTCTCACTTAGTCACTAAAAGCCATAAACAGTGTTAAAAATGAAAACAAATAAATCAACACAAGGAGGAGAAATGGTCAGAGAAGCCTCTGTGGCTTCACGTGGAGCTGGTGGTGACCCAGAGCAACATCAACACTTCCAAGCCACAGAAACTGGACACCAGGTTTATAATATCAGAGCAGCTTACTCAGTACAGTAAAGGCTTAGAAGAGCTGGCTCTAAGCTTGCTCAGAGAGAGCAGGTTACTCCTCCTGAGGCACAGAGCAGGAGCTGGGGCTGAGGAAGGAGCCTGCAGAGCACAGCACCCACCTGCTCCCCAGGATGGGCAGCGGGCGCTCGGGGCAGCGGTGGCTTCTCCCGACTCCCAGGGCGAGAGTGACACCAGGCACGAGGTGTCTCCACACACAGCTTCACCCGGCGTCGCCTGGCCAAAGGCCGGCCAAGAGGATGAGATTTCCATAAAGAGTCTGCTGGGGGGAGTTATTAACGCAGGAACAGATCGGGTGTCTGGTCCTCGTGGCTGTCAACGCAGCAAGAAAGAGCTGGCACTGCTGTAACTTGACTGCAAGGCACACTTACGGGGGAGGAGGAAAAAAGAAAAAAAAGCATGTTGAAAGCCTCTCGGCTGAAATATTAGCCTAAACTGCCCTGCTTAGCAAACACTTCTCTGCCAAGAAAAAGGGAATTAGACTCGATTCTGCCTCGGGAAGTGAAGTAGTGGACATCAGGGACAAGAGGAGTGAAAAAGCACAACCTTCTGGAGACACTCCAGCGTGATAAAAGAAAATACAATAATAGAGAGAACAGCATGTTCCCTTTGTCAGGGCCAAAGCTACCCTGCAAGCAGAACAGGAATTTGCCTGGGGCAGCAACATGCTTAATGGCTTTTATTATTATTATCTGAAAAATCCGAGGATGCTTCCCAGCATGTAGAGGAGAGCGGCGAGCCCAGAGCCACCTCTGCGAACGTGAGTAATGGGGCTTTATGCTCGTGAGAGGCTTGCGCAGGAACTTTCTCATTTAGCTAACTGAATTCGGCAACTGGAAGGAAACACACAGCCCATATACTTCACCACACGCAGGTACAGTACAGCTTATTTCAGAATATTTGAAGCATATTAATAAAACAAGAACACTATACAGCCTCGTCCCCTCTAGGTTAGGACCGCCCAACCTTCTCAATTATTTATTTTGTTAATCAAAGTACCTGCATCTAAATTTACCATAATATACTTAACTGAGGTTTTGCCTGAAACGCTGTATTTTTTCCATGTCCTTCTTGTAGCCTCAATGGGTTTATTATCTCATTTTTGTTCTCTGAGTGGTTTTGGTAATACAAGAACATAATGTTTAAAAAATGTCACGTGATTCTCAAAGATGACCGAATTTGCACCATCGTCAGCAAGAAGAGAAATACTTCCTGTATGTATTTTCATCCAAGAATCACTGAAACGAACAAGGAACCACTAAATTACTTTTCCAACTACAGGCAGTCACTTCCCAGATAAAACAGCAAAACACTCACAAGAGCCATCATGTATTAAAATGGGATCGATGTGCCATGAGCTCTTGGTTGCTAAATAAGGCACCTGGACAGAGACTGGAGCTCAGGAATCTTTCTACACAGTCTTACAAGGTGGATTTCTTAAGTATTTCGGCTCTCAAAACCACCAATATTTTTAAAACCTAGACCAGAACATCAAGCATATGAATGTGCATATGGGTTAGAAATGCAAGCTCGTGACGGTCACCTGGGGAAGTGAGGATGTATTTTTTTCCAAAAGGATGTTTATTAGATAGTCTTTCTAAAAAGTTCAACGTGTGAAAAAGAAGAGGACATATGCTCATCACTTGTCCCTGAGATATCCATCCTATTTTTCTAGTTAAGAAGCCAATCTTCCATGAAATCCCCCAAAAACCTAACAGATGGGTTGAATTACTAATTGTGAGAAGAGGGTTGAATTACTAATTGTGAGAAGACTAGTTCCACAATGACATTATTATAAAATCCTGCTAACAAATAAAGATAGCAACAAGAGAAGCTTGGTTTACAGAAGGATGTCCCTAGATCCAAGAAGCGAGCTGCAGGATGACGTCCAATAATTACTTCATACAGAGAAGAGCTATGTGGTGTATTTAAACCTTTAATTTCTTCTCCCTTGTTTCAGTGAGATTGTTGCTCCCCGCAGCCGATAACAATAGATGTCTTAAGTTTCTTCTGATTTACCAACAAAGCAAATATCCTCTGGTAAATCTATGAACTGAACAATGATTTTTCATTTTTACAACAGCACAGTCAATTCAATTTGCCAGTTATAAGTCTCAAGCCTCCCCCTATCAGCTTGTTAACGTTCAAGTGCTGTACTCTGAAACATGCCTGGAAGAATCTCCACAGACTCTGCCATCCCCAGTTGCTTCTGAACATTGAATTCATTGCTTATGAATCACTTCACTGTATGTAAACACTTGAATCACTAAAGCCCCATCCAATATTGTACACAGCAATCAAGTGATGTTGTCACAGTGGATTCTCTAACGACGAATGTCTGCGTGGGTGCACTGAGGCAGCTCTAAAAACACGGCCATTAGCGTCTCACTTTTACAAGCAGGTTTTGTCTGTTTGTGAACATATTTTATTTGCAGATGCTAAATGCCTGTAAAATATTTTCTGGCTTTGCATCTTCTTGAGATACTCGCAGGAGTCCCACTAGCCCCCCTAAGAACATGAACATGACAGAAATCACACCGTATTTTTCCTGGTATTTGAGATATCTATAACTTAGAGCAACTGTGTCACAACAGAACCAGGGCTATTTCACCTCAGTAGCTTTCTGCATCAGGTCAGACAAACAAGAATCCAAAGGAAAACCAAGTACACTCATCCCTGAAAGTAAGCCAGTTTCCCCCTCTTAAATTAAAATGCTTTAAACCACACCAATGCTCAGTTGCCCTGAAGCATTCTAAAACTGTTTATGCTAACTTGTTAAAGTGTTGCTTTGGGTTCCTTAAATACTGTTACGAGCAATTTTTCTCGCAAATGTGTCACAAACCTTGATGCCGAGCTCTATGTTCTCCCCTCCATACACATCCATCTTTAAACCATTTAAATGCATTTAAAAAATTTAAAAAATTTAAAAAAATGCATTTAAACCATGGGTTCCTTAAATACTGTTACGAGTAATTTTTCTCGCAAATGTGTCACAAACCTTGATGCCGAGCTCTATGTTCTCCCCTCCATACACATCCATCCCCGGATCGAGAAGCCCAATCTCTCCAAAGAATTTTCTGTGCACAACAAACGAGCAACCGATCATCGCCGGCGTCCTGTATAAAGAGAAAAAACAAGGAAAACACATAATTACTGACATTTTCCAATTTTTAATGGGCTGAGGGCTAATTTCTGCAAAGTTCCTGTTGGCCTCAGTTGCCTCCTGCCGCCAGTTATCCCAGAGATTTTGTGGCAATGAGTGAGCTCTGTGCCTTTGAAGACGTTATTTTACCACTGCAATCAAACCATCCAGAATTTAAGCTCATTTCACTCTGTATAGACAGGAGAAAGAATTTTCCTTGGATTAAATTACTGAAAAGCTTTCAGGTATGTTTCAAACACCTTGGTGTGTCTATGAACAAAGCCACAATTTTCTTTGGGTTTCCATTCCCCATAAGCGAAGGAAATTTAATAACGGCATTTCCTTTCCCTTGCTTTCTTCTAGCACGTCTAGTAACAGGTTTACGCTTCAGGACAGACACTAAACAGTGTCCTGTGAAATGAGGTTTCTCGTTGGGATCTTTATAATACATCACAAAGGAGCCATCACCAACAAGCTAAATGGCAAACTTGCAGAAACAAATCCTTTATAAAAATCAAGACAACGGCAGAAATATCTGCTGTCTCATTTGCCCCGTTCCACCAATACCGACGAGGCTCTGCGTTAGAGCTATAGGTGTCACGTTCATCCTGCAAAACCTCGTGCCCTCCAGCTACCAGCGCTGCTCGGCTCCACCTCGGCAAGAGCAGCCAAGCAGTGTCCGGTCAGGGAAAATAATAGAGAAAAATGACAGCAGTTCTAGCAATACTGGCATCACTAGAACAGCCGAAAGATTGAGGAAAACCTCAGTGTCGGGGGTTAATTTATAATAAATATGCAATTTCAAGGACATAATAGATGGTTGTGTTTACTAACACCCCTGGCTGCGATGCACTGTCCCTCCTGCATTACCTTGAAAAACACTGGACTAGATCTCCACCTGATACAGCCACCCTGGGATGAGGATGCTGTTCTGATTCGCACAAACTGGGGTATTTTTTGGGTGGTTAAACACTTGTGACCCTCTCCATAAAATTACACTTTGCCACAGAGCACGGCACTGAACAAAACCGTATCATTATGCTCTTGCTGCTTGGAGATACACTAATCTGTTGCGGTTATGGCATGTGGAAAGTTTACCCCCTGGGATATTTTCTGTACTAAAATAAAAATACAAAAACCGTTCTCCCATTTAACTCGCTTTCACTTGAATCCATGCTGTAAAGAAAAAAAAAAAGCAACAAAAAACCTAAGGATCAACAGAGAAGAGACAATACGTTTTGCCATTTGCCAAGGTAATGCCAGCATCTGCTCTTACGTAGAGCTATGGGACCCCCCTGCCCACCCTGAGCTCAAAGCTTTGAGCAGGGGGAAGCTCCACCAGGCAGGATGGGACGCCCATCGCCCCTGCAGCTCCTCACCTCAGCCTTGTGCTGCCTGGGGAAAAGGAGCGGGGTGTAGCACCAAGGGTAGCCTGGGTATCTGGGTACCTCACATCACTTAGGAATGCCAGTTCTCCAGAGTGAAGCTCCTCTTGAGGAAGAAACAGGGCAATGGGATCATGCAGTCTCAAAATCCTCTCTCAAAGCACATTTCATGGCTCGTCCGTGCTGTGGAGCGTGTTTGAGGCTGAACTAGGTAGTCATGCCTGGCAGAAGTGGAAAGCACCCTCAAATATATCCAGACACAGCTTACAGAGAGCAAGGATCAGGCCCACGCTCAACCTCTCCATCCACATCACGCGAAACACTCGGATCTGCCAGAGGAGCATCTGGGGTCCCCAATGCACCCCAGGCCTCCCAGGGACCTTCCAGCTCAGCTCTGCCCACAGCCAGCTGAATTAATCTTTGTGAAATCCCTGAGCTCCTTGGAGGAAAGATTCTAGCCACTTAAGCATTATTATTTAGAGACATTTTAATACTTTTAATAGACTAGTAGAACAGCTGAACACTGCTGCCATATTAAATTAGTTAGAACTGGAATCCATCAGAGGCTTTTTCAATAGATTTCTTCCCTGACAGCAAGCTCGCCCTTCTTTCCAATAAGCAGTATAATGTTTCATGGTTTGCTGCCACTCTAGTACTTAAGATTTCAATTCTATTGCTTTATTTGTAGCAAGTTAACTGCCATTAGCAGAAACAATTCTTTCTGAAATGATAACCACGTTACAGATGCCAAATCTAATAGCTCCATTATCCTAGATTACCTCCTGGAATTAAATAGAAGGGTAAGTTGCTCTGGTTTTACATGGAACATGAACAACCCAGTTCAGCTCCTCCACTGGGAATAGGCACGGTTGAGCATGGAAACCTTGGACTTGTCCAGTCAAAATCTCTTAGGTCTGTTAAAGGCACTCAGAGAAGTGTTAATGTCAAAAATAAATCCAGGTAAAAGTTTCAGGTAGATGAAACTGCATTTCTAACCCAGTAATGTGGATGACTGGGAGCTCACTGCCAGATAAACAAGGTTTTCTGCAGGGGAAGCTGCTCAACAGTCAGGCACAAGAATTGTACCCCAAGAAAGCTTTTTTAATTATTATTTTGCAACATGACTTCACTTTATAGACCACAGCATCACCCATCCTCTCCAAAAGGCTCTTGGAAACAGTCCCATTGGGATTTTGTAACTTCACCTTCAAATTTTCCTCTTCTTCATTTTGCCGCACATTCTGTTTTCAACACACGACGCCGTGAAGCATGCAAAGCAGCGCTCCCGAGCGGCTCTGAGGTCCCTCAAGCAATACAAATTAAGTGCTACATTCTTCTTTGTAACAATGCCTCCATATTAAATAAATGAGGAATCAAGCAGCGCTCCACAATTTAAATAAAAACACCATTTGATTTTGTAGTAAATCCTTCAAAAAGGTGGACGTTTACAATAACAGATAGCCCATCCACAATGAAATAATGGCCTGCAGACAAAGAGCTGATAAAGCCTCTTGTTCCTCTGCCCCTTAATTAAAAACATTAACACAGTTTGTTTTTAAAAATCACACAGCTCGGCTTAGCTAAATGCATTTTTGTTTGTCCCGATAGCTATTCCTTCTTTAATGAGAAAGAAAAAGCAGAATTTGGCAGGAAGGGACAGGCAGAGCTGTTTAGCAGAGTTATTGGTTTTGTACCCAGAAATCCACAGCGCTGGTTTGTTGCCATAATTTTGGTTGGCTCTTCTACACAATAAGTGATGAAAGGTCAAGAAGAGCAGCTTTTATGAAATATCCTCAGCATGAATCTCTAAATAAAGATGAAGAAGATACAGGGGAAAAACGTTTATCCTAGTCTATTAAGTTACTGTAATGGTCTTCCTTTCTTTAGTGCACAGTTATCATCTAATGATTAAAAAGTCTCAAGAAGATTGCTTCTTAAATTCAAGGAAATTAATTTTCCTACACAATTGGATTTTGCTTCCAATTTTATGCTAAAGCGTAGTTATAAAATATGTGGAAAAAAGATATTAAAAAAATAATTAGCAGTAATACCACTTAGCAGAAGAAGGCTGACAATATACTTCAAGAACTGCTGGGATGTCCAGTTTCCATTAAACTGCTGTTATTTCCAATAAACTTCAATCATAGAGTTGCTCACCTTCAGAAACACAATCTGAAGGCTTTTGGCACATTTGGGATGGTCCTTTACCTGCCCAGAAAGGATTTATTTGTCCCTTTCCCAAACTTGACGTTTCTAATTTAACATACCACATTCAGAAATCTCTTTTTCCGTTCTGAGATTTGAGACTTGTCTAAAACATGCACAATTTCCCATTTCTGCTGCTTGGCTTCTCACTCCTCCAGGACTCAGCTGGGGGTCACTGGTGGGAGCCAGCATCTCAGCAAGAAACGCTGTCAGACTCTGGAGCTCCATAGCTTAAATTTAACCAACTCATAATATGCAGAAGACATCAGGTAAATTATCAAGTATAGCCAAATTAAGCCCGCAGCTTTAAATAGCAGCCTATCAATTATTTCCCTGATGATACCAAGGTAAGGAAGAACACCATTTTTATTTTTACATGACATTCCATGATAAAACACTTGGTTTTCTTTTGGCCAGGACCCAATTTGCAACCAGAAACAACTGTCAGTGCTGTCATCTCTGTGCTTCTGCGTCTGCAGCACAGTGAACATATTGCAGAATAAATAAAGACTGGGATGAGTAACACAGGTTTATCTCAAGAGAATATGCACGTGGAAATTAAATACAAGCATGTGGTGTTAAGGACTGACTCCTCCGACAATTAAGATGGGGTTAATCAGACCCTGTCCCCAGGCACCACACCTCCCATGCAAAAACCTTTGCTGCTTTAAAAGCAAACTTCAGGTCATTAATTGAAGAACTTTGCAGGAATGGAAGAGCAGCAGCACGTGAGGGCAAGATTCTCATCGCAACAACCCAAAATCTAACGTCACACGTGAAGCACACCCCCCAAAGAGAAATACATATTGCTCCTGCCTCCTCCGGCTGGGCACCCACACGCAGGTGCAGAGTCAGGCAGGAGCCACGCTCGCAGCTCCCCTTCACTGCCTGCGTAATGGCTGGGGCAGATAAAAGCTGGATGTCTTTGAGAAGGATGTAATAAAATTTCTGCAAAGGAACAGCATTTCAGCCCACAGCAGCATACCTTGCTTAATATTATCCCCAGGATGGCATCTGCAATAGTTGTTTCTTGAATAATTCTAGCTTCCCTGCCCCAGCGACCTTGGTTAATTGTCTGTTTCAAATGGGTTTATTTTCCCGCTGTTGCTGAGTACTATAGAATCTGCGAAACAAATTAAAAATCGGAGATACCACATAAAAGGGATGCCAGATTGAATGCTTTTTCTGAATTTACTGGAGATTAATACGACTTAAACTTTTAATGGCAAAGAAGCTGTGAAAACTATGTATTTTTGAAAACGCCTATTATGTCTACCGATGCCTGTGACCTTGCTTGAGGTAGATTTGACTTTGTCCCTGTTGTATGCCTGCTCCGATTTCCACGTCAAGAAGTAGCTCTCTCTGGGACCTCAGGCAAAGAATT